TAATGTAGATTTAAAATGGCATCACCCATTATTTTCATAACCCCAAGAAAGGATCTTTTATTATGAGTAAATTTTATAAAATATAGAAATAAAAAAATAGTTTAAATGTGTCTATATCTAATTAAGGGTTTAAGTCCACAGGTAAATGCAAGTCAGGCTTTCCATTACATGGGATCCATAGTGTTCATTATATTGTGTCTTCTGAGTGGTTTGGAAAGATGGTCTGGAATTTATGGAGGAAAGACTTAATTTGTCTACTTATTTTTAATTAGTGTAACTCCGAATGAACCTCTTTGATTTCATCTTATTGGTGATTGTATTGCTTAGTGTTCAGAATGAATACATTAATATATTTCCAATTACCAATATTAAGCCTTGGGAATACTTCCGTGAATAGGTCTGCACATGCTAGTTATTAGATGTAATCTCCTGAAGTTTCTTCTTCACATTTCAATATTGAGGAATTAGCTTGTTTTTGTGTAAGTTCTGTTTTAATTTTTGCATTTGTCAGTTTTGCTGGATAAAGCTGTGAACCTACAGAAGTGATCAACTGTACCTTGTTGTGGGTTGCTTTTTCATAATATAGGACCCTCCAGTTTCAATTTAGAGAAATATTATACACATCCAATACATTTCCTCCATAATATCCTCCACCTTCACTGGCACATGTTTGCACTTTCCTCTTGTTAAAATTGCAGACAAGAATAATTTTGATTTATTGGTGACATCTAATATAGCTGTGTTTATATTGTTGCCAATAAAATGACTTACATGATTGGTTTTTGTTTATACAATCTTTTCTGAGGAGTCAGTCACCTGTGTTAGGACAAGGTACATTCTGCTTATTAAAATGAACTCTTGGGATCTAAGAACATTCGGCTCTATCTGTTCTTGATTGAATGCCGAATGTGCTTCCCACTGCAGCCGTGCATGAGAATAACATTATCTATCAGTACGTTTTTCATTTCTATATTCTGGCTACAAAAGCTGTGACAAGAGAAGTGAGGGGGAATAGCAAGGACCTATTAACGATCAAGGCAGAGGAATTGAAAAGGCAGTGTTAATGAAATTATACAGTCATTAACCCAAAGGAAAAAAATGAAAAGAATCAATAAGAACTCTATTTAGATGGACTGCACACATACAAGTATGTATATATGGAGCAGTTTGCTGACCAGTGTTTTGAGCCTCATTATCAGGTTTTCTGTGAAGAGGAAGAAATACTTGCGGCATAAGGAATGGAAAATATAACAAACGGTAAATGTAGCCTAAGGAAATGAAATGATGTATGAAAATTAATAATTAACTGGCTCATCAGATGAATTATGACTCTAGATGAGCCTATTAATGATATTTACTAAGAAAGGGCCTTTGGCTGTAAATAGGCATTATAGAACTTGTATTTTTGGAATTTTCTTGAATGGATGATTAACATTGCTTTTATTTGTTTAATCTCTTAATCCAAGAGGAGCAGTGCCTAGAGCCTTGGGTAGAAGGTAGAGTCATGATGTGATATTTTGATTAAAGTCTTGCTTTTCCAGAAAACTAGTGGAATTATTAAATGGTTTTGTGCCTTTGTTTCCTTAGGGAGTTAAGTCATTTCCTCTCTGACCTGATTTACAGGAGTGTTTTAAGAGTTTGAAAGTGGTCAGAAGTAGAGATTTATTAACTCTTATGTTGACTTATTAGCAGAATGAACATTTTCATTGTGTCAACCAGTGGAGTATAAAAATCTAAACATGTCAATGTCAGATTCAAAATATTCTAAATTTATTATACTTCTGGTTGCTCCTTTTTTCTTTTTTCATTTTTTTGGTAGCCTAGGGTAGAGCAGTTGGGCAGAAGACAGATTTAAAAAATGCCGGAAATTCAGTCAAGTTTTTAAATAGAGTGAGTATCTTCCAGTTGAATTTTACCAGTTACATTTTTGATACTGATTATTTGTGATTTTACTTACTTTGCAAAGTTTAAGTTTAATCCTCAGTTCATTGTTCCTGGTTGATGTCATTCTGCACATTGCAGGTGGGAGAGCCTTCTTACATGCTCTTAATTGGTTAGGATTGGTAGAGGTGTTTTATTTTTTACTTCTGTGTCTACTCAGTCCCCCTAGATTTAAGTGCCATAGGTATAAAAGCCACATATTTATTTTCTTGATTATAGTAAATGGACATTTTAATAATCTTCCTCATCCCAATTATCTGGATTAACAAAATGTCGAGAGACCATAGTGATTATTTCCCACTTCTCAGCCTTTTGTGGATGAAAAAAACAGAGAAGTTAAGTCTGGCCTTGAATGCATTATGTAGCCCAGGCTAACCTCAAACCCTGGGTGATCCTCCTGTCTCAGCCTCCAGAGTGCTGGGATTACAGGTGTAAGCCCAGCTGATAACTGCTTTTTGTTACCAAGTGAATTTAGAATTCTGTGCTGATCATATAGATTAGCCGAAAATATACGAAAGTATAATATGAACAAACAAAATTGGTTTTTACATTCTGGTATCTAATGCTTGAAAAATTCTTTAGCGTAACTAATGTGAAAACTGGAATTTTAAGGAACATTTTTACTTTTTTTCTTTTCTGTCTTGAGTCTGGTTTTGTTCAGCTCATAGGCCATTGCCCTGGTTTTTCTTGCCATTGGTTTTTTTTTATGGTATTAATCGCTTTATTTTCCAGTTGCTGCTTTTTCGTAGTAAAATTAAAGTACATTTTGTTGTTAATTTTACTTTCAACCTAATACTATTTAAAACAATTTCATTTTATAAAAAAATCAGATATTCAGCGCAAGACAGACAGGTATGAATGCCTGGTATCTAATTAAGTTCTCAGTACTTCAAGTTATTTTTTCTTCTTTCATACTCACCTTTTTAATGGTACAATGCAATGCTAAGTACTTACATGTTTTTATTCACATCTTTGATGAGAATTCCTGCTTGTCTATGATCTTGCTGCCAAAAATGACTCCCTTATTTTTAAAAACCTGGAAATGGGGACAGTCTGGAAATCTGCAGACACTTGTCAGTTGGACCATGGTCTTAGTGACTCATTTCCAGTCATGTTGAACAATTCTTCATTTTTAAAAAATTGCCAATGTGACATATTTCTTTGCCCTTTTTTTGGTGGGTGCTGAGTAAGTACTTTCTTTAGGGTTCAGAAGGCTCAGAAAACAATATTTTATCAATGAAGGGAGAATAGATGGCTAATTTTATCTGGGAAAGCACAGAAACTTTCAATGACTCTTGCTCAGGCTGACTGGTAAAGCACTCAAGTTCTACATGGACACAACACAAGGGGCATTGGAATTTTTCCAGTGTAAAAAAGAATCTTACTAATGGTGTATTTCTTATTGTTCCATAAACAAACTTAAAATGTAGAGGTTTGGTTAATTTGCACTCACTTGTCCCTTCATGGGTATTGTTGTGGAAGGGAAGGCAAGAGTAAAACCTGATTTAGATTGGTACTATTGAGTGTCTCCTAGGACTGCTGGAGGGCAGGATAGTATTTAATGTCAAAGACTAAACATTTCAAATTTTATGAGAGAGACAGGGAGAAAGAGAGAGAGAAGAGAGAGAGAGAGAGAGAGAGAGAGAGAGAGAGAGAGAGAGAGAGAGAGGGAGAGGGAGTAAGCCCTGAGCTGTCCACGCTCAGCTCAGACTTGTGATTCTCCAGCTTCAGCCTCCTGAGTAGCTGGAATTATAGGCATGTGCCATCACACCTAGATGCTAATTATATTTGTAGCTCCTCAATATAGGCACACATGGTAAACTTTGCAGCGGGCATAGTGAGCAAGCATTTGACTTGAAACTTAAATTTTGTTCTTTGATTTCCTAAGATGAGAAAAGAAAAACAGTTCTTCACAAAAAGTTTTCTTTCCTTGATATCCTTTCTGTAATGATTTATGGGGTCATTTGGGAGTTGAGTTCAAAGTATTTGTCTTGAAACTTTGAGTGGATTATAAAGAAAAAATGAAAACTGTATAATTAAAGATATCTGAACACTGCTGCTTTGCACTCAGTCCTTATTTCCTGTGTTTAGCTTGGCTTCTTTCCATGACTGTCATGTCTGTATGGAAAGCAGACTGAATGGGGTCTATCATACATTTGGAGAAGTGGCATTACCATGGCACTTGGCCACCCATGGCATTACGCTTTGGGGGGCAGCTGCTCTAAGGAGGGAAGAGTCTTCCTTAATGCTTTAGAATCATGAGTACTGACTTCATCACATGTGGTGGAAAATGGTGTCCTGTGGTCTCCATCAGTGCTTCTTTGGCTTCTCCCATAGGGAGTTTCATGAGGGCTGTGGCAGAGGAACAGCATATGGTATAGTGCACATCGAACATACCAGAGAGCTCATTTTTAGGAGGACTATTCTGTCTTCATGCTTTCTATCATTGGAACTCAGACTCTAATACAGCTGTGAATTTTTAAATATAAGCATACATAAAACCTTTGTGACTTTTCCCAGGATTAGGCTTTTATCTTTTGTAAATCTAGGGGCTATGAAAAACTTCGTCTTAGAGTGAAAGTGAGAGATAGTATAATGTCCCCATCATCCCATCTAGAGGCTAAGTCTGTTTTGTGATTGTTCACTGGGGCCTCTGACGCATTGGTCTCACTGCTCATGAAGGTAGTGCTTTTTTGTTTCCCAGGACCCACTGTAAAAAAAGTGATCTAGTGTGGACAGATCCTTTTGGAATCAAAATAAGTTTAATTTGGCAAACTGGCACCACTAGATTCCTTGTAGTTGCCAAGAGCACCTTATTGAGAAGGGCTCAGGGGCAAACAAAACAATACAGTGATCCATAATCCATGTCTCCTGTGAATGTAGAAGGGGAGAGTGCCTGCCAATGAGCTATGTATTTTATGACCTTGTTCATATAAAAGGCCATTTTGCTAAGGGTGCTTCTGTTCTTCCTGATATGCGTGCTACAAAGTTGAAAACTCTGTACTTTATTTTCATTTTTACTTTAAAAAATGCCTGTATTTATTTTTTTAAACAGGCTTATAACCCACACCATGGATAACTTACTGGACTTTGCCTGAAAGGAGTCATTAGTACCATTGGATATTTGACCATCTTGGCCACAGGTTTTTCAGGATGAATGGAAGGTCACGCAGAATGAGTCTTCACCATACGTCGGGAACACCACAGGGGCCTAGGATGGTCAGTGGCCAACACATTCCTCCCATCCGAACCCACTCAGGGACTCCTGGCCCCTCGTCTTGTGGCAGCACACCAAGCCCTGCTTTTGGAAGCCCTTCTAACAGCCTGCATCGCAAGATGCCCTTGGGAGGAGGGATGGCTCTTCAGCACAATATGGCTGAGAGCCCCATCCATCTGCCCGCTCTGAGCCCCAGGAGACAAGTGCTCACCAATGAGAAGCCGACATTCCAGGTCACCCAGCCTGGAGGCATGTCAGGGACACACACTTTAAAGCCAAAGCATCAAGAGTTTGGAAGCCCTTTTCCTTCAAATCCTGGGAAAGGTAGGATTGCCTTTTTGGGATCTTTTAAAAGTGGAAACTATTTTTTCCTCCCCCTAGTCCCTTCCCTGCCAGTAAATTCTACAGAAAAACATGTAATTTAATTTCAGGGTCAAACTTCATGGTCTCATAATGATATGTAGCTTGCTCAGTAAGGTTTTGTGTGTGTGTGTGTGTGTGTGTGTGTGTGTGTCTATGTGGGTGTGTGAATGCTGGGCACAAGCGTGGGACACCTCATTGGACTGTGAAGCAGATTGAAGGTAAAAAAAGAACAGAGGTAGGGAAGTGGAGCAGGTGGTGATCCTGCCATAAAAGGATCCTGAGTACATTGATCTCTGCCTATGGGTCATGGATGAGAGGGTTGACTGGGATGGCCATTTATGCTCGTGGTAGAAATGCTAGAAGAAAGGTGATGAATGGAAGGAAAAGGATAAAGTGAGGAATTTTAATAAGCAATAACATGAAGAATTGGTACATATAAATGATAAAAATTATGAGCAAACTATAATTTTTACAGTATAGCTAGTAACAAGAGAAGAAAGCTGAAAGAGAATAATGAAGAGTGTTTTGTACTTGTGAAGAACTAGAAAACTTAGTTAACTTGAAATATTTTTGCATGATCATGTATTTTAAATTGAAGCATAATTGTTGGGGAAGAGCAAATTATTTGATAACTCTCTAGAAACTCTTGTGGGTTTTTTTTGGTACCGGGGATTGAACTCTGGACCTTGTGCATGCAAGATGGGTGGCAGAACCACTGAGCTAAATCCCCGGCCCACTCTCTAGAAACTGATGTTGACTTAATGAAGTTATATTGTAGATGGCATGTGTATTTAGGCTAGAAGTAGAAAGAGCATGTATATCATATAAAATATAGCTTTGTTATGCAAAATAGCACAATTATATACTCCTTAAGATATTTTAGATTTAGTCTTTAATGTTTACATTAAAAGTGCTTATACCATCAAATAATATGAGCTAGCAGCCTTCTGAATAACTACTCATTTGGTTAATTGAGGTGAATAATGATTTATACCAGACATGTACACTAAGAGTTGTTTGTCATAGTGTCTATGTATTTTTGGGTATGGAGGAGTTGGTACAAATGGGGATATTAAAAAAAAACAATGAAACACTACACATTGATGTAGCTTTTAAATTTTTCTTTTCTTTTTTGTTTATTTGTATTTGGTCTAGGTTTTGTTTTGAGTTGTTTTACTTCCTAGAGATACTGATGGTTAGTTTAGGAAAAAGTTTCCCTGGGGGCTATCTCTACAATAGCTCTGTCATTGTGAGGTTGCTCTGCTCATGGCATGTCAAGGTAAGTTCCTTAATATCAAACCCCAGCGTTTAGTTTTTCAGGGGCAGGGGCCCATTAAAATCTTTCAGTTCATGCTTGACCAGTGAACTGTTGCTTGCTTTTATAGTTATTTGTGTTTGCAAGTCTGATGACAGTAATAGTGGTAATAATATTAATAACTTGCATTTATTATATCATAACTTAGTATATGTCAGGTAACATGTTGAGTCCTTTCCAATGCATAGTCTTCAGTTATTCCTCACAATAGCGTCAAGTTGTATGCTATGGTTGATTGAACTGATAAGGGAACTAAAATCTAGAAAGAATAAGTAACTTCAGAAACACCAGCCAGTAAGGAGTTACTTTGATGGTGACCAGAAGTGACTATAATTACGATCATGGTTAAAAAAATGCTTCAGGTACTTAAGGGATAGTTAACTCTCAGGGTCAGTACACTTTGGAATGCATGTAAAAATAGTGCTGCTTCCTGACTGTATTTTCTGTGGCCTTCTGGTTCAGCTTGTTAGTTTATAGTGTGGGTTCTGCATCAGTATGGTTGGGGCATTCATGGAGACAGATAAGGAGTTAAAGACACTGTTATTATTCCTCCTAGCCCTACAGCTTGGATACAGTCAGTGGTCCAGATGATGTCAGAAATGGTTGAACGTGTCCCTTTCAGATTTTGGTTGACAATTCCTAAATTAAGCCAATAATTGATGGTTTAGAACTGTGTGAACTTCATTTGATCATTTATTCAACAAAAAGTTACTGAGGATATATGATGAGTGAGCCATTATTCTGGGAACTCAGTAGCCAATAAAAATAGTTCTAGCTTTCAAGGTGTTGGAAAATTCAGACAAATATGTGGGCAGTTTAAGTATAAAGGCTCTGATAGGATGCACTCTTGAGTACTATCGCAACCTTAGAAAGGAATTTTCTGCCTGTGCTTGGTAGGTGGATCTGGGAGGACAGTTGAGATATCAAGGCAGAAACTTGAATAGTGAGGAGTTAGCCTTGCAGTTGTACAGTGTATGTCCCGTGTGTATTTTTTTTTTGGTACTGGGGATGGAACTTGGGTCCTGTCGCTTGCGAGGCGGGCGGAGGAACCACTGAGCTAAATCTCCTGCCTGTGTGTGTATGTTTGTGTGTGCTTGTGCATAGAACATGTGTGCATGAAGGGGTTGTTTAGAACATATTCTGGGTCGAGAGAAAAGCACATTCAAAACTTCATGGGGATGGATCATGGGGCATGTTATTAATTTCTATGTGATTTACATAGGTTGAGGATGCAGTGACTGCTTAAGAGATGAAGCTGGAAAGGAATAAGCAGAGAGTAGGTGAAGAGTCATGAATGATACACCAAGAAGTTTGAATCTGTCTTGAGAATGTTGGCAGAACATGTGACTCTGGGAATATTATTTAGGGATCTGCAGAAAAATAGAACTAACAGGATATGTATTTGTGTTTGTATGTATCTGTGTGTATGTATGTATGTATGAATTGGCTCATGAGATTATGGAGGCTGTTAAATCCCCACATCTGCGGGGTGAGTGGGTAAGCTGGAACCTCAAGAGAGTGGATGGTTAATTGAGTCTGAAGGGCTTGAGAACCAGGAGAGCTGATGGTGTGGTCTCTCTTTTGAAGGCAGGCAAGCTCAAGATTCAGGAAGAGCCAGTGTTTCAGTCTGACTCCAAAGGCAAGGAAAAAGCTGATGTCCCAGTTCAAAGGCAATCAGGCAGGAAAAAATTCTGCCCTACTCAGGGAAAGAGTGAGCCTTTTATGCTATTCAGGCCTTCAACTGATTGGACGAGGACCATCCACATTAGGTAGAGCAATCTGCTTTACTTAGTCTGCCAATTTAAACGTTAACCTCATTCAAAACCACCACAGTGGAAACACCCAGAATAATTTTTGACCAAATAGTTGAGCAACCTGTAGTCCAATGAAGTTCAAGTGTAAAATTAACTATTATAGTGATGTATAATTGTTTAAGGAAAATGTACAATTTACATGATGGATAGGAAAGTGGATTTTCTGAGCCTTGAAAGTGATGATAGTAACTCTGAAGAACATAGGGGTGCTGTGAACAAAGAATTTAAATTAAAGATTGTCAGATTGGCAAGCATCTCTAGTGAAAGCCTTGTGGAAAGTATACATTTGATGGTAAGGTTTGCGTTACTTAAGGATTGAGTTCTGCTCAATTGGAAATTCGAGTGACAGTGGCTTTCAGATCATATGATGTGCTTCCCAGATGGTGCATCAACATCACTAGGGTGTCACAGCAAACTCAGAGAGTCTTAGGACATTTAAAATTTTAACCACAGTGACATGTGAAATCCTTTAAACACCAGACAAACTACTAGCTTGAGGAGGTTGACAGTTTCAATAGTAAATTGCATAATCTTCCTTTATCTTTGCAAAGCTACATTTTCAGTAGTTGTGATTTTATAAAAACAAATATTTTCTATACCTGTGTTCATGGCAGCATTATCCACAATAGCCAAAAGGTAGAAATAAATGTCCTTCATTTGGATGAGTAGTTAAAAAATGGCATATATCTCTATTTATATATCTATATATAATGGAGTATTGTTTAGCCTTACAAAGGAAACTTCACATGCCACAACACAGATGAACTTTGAATAAATTACACTAAATGACATATACTAGTCCTAAAAGGACAAGTATTGTATTATTGCTCTTATATGAAGTTCTCGGAATAGTCCAATTCATAGAGACAGAAAGAATGGTCGGGATAGGGTTTGGGGAAGAGGAAAGGAGGAGTTAGTGTTTAATGGGTACAGGTTTTCAGTTGGAGAAGATGAGAAAGTTCTGCAGATGGTTAATGTGACAGCTGTACAACGATGTGAATGTACTTAGTGTCCCTGGACTGTAAATTTTGTTACATATATTTTATCACAATTGAAGAAAGCCAAGTACTAAGTGAAAATCAGTGTGAACAGGAAGTGAGGGTGGTGGTGTCCAGTCTTATTTCAAGGTTTGAAAAAAAGTGGTGGACAATTGGAAGACCCATTTCATTCATAATTGTAGTTATTTAAAATTAAATAGCAATACTGTTTTTCTTTCAGTTTATGTGTATTACTTTTCCTGCTCTTTTTTTTTTTTTGGTACCAGGGATCAAACTCAGGACCTTGGACTTGCAAGGCAGGTGGCGAAACCACTGAGCTAAACCCCCAACCCTATATGTGTGTTACTTTTTAAAGTAGTTAATAAGTTGGCAGTACATAAATGCTATTACATGTTGACACCTATCTAGTTAATAAACATAACTGTTAGGTGTTTCTTTTGGCTTAGGGGCACGATGAACAAAATTATTTGAGAGGCTAAGCATGGTATGAACTGAGAGCATTTGGGAGCTTCTGTCATAGGCTATTTTATTCACACAGAGAAGCTTGGGGCAGGGGTTTACAGCTAACCACTGGCGGCTCTGCTGTGTATAGGCCAAGATCACGGTACTTTGCTCAGTCTTCTCTTTTCGGCTGCACAGTGATTCCAGCTCTGGCTAGATGAGCTTGCCTTCTGAGAAGCATGCAGGAGGAAGGAAGGACAAAAGGGAAAAAGGTAGAAGGACAGTTCTCCCCAGTCTGTCCTCTTAAAACAGCTTTCCCAGGAGCCCTGTCCAGCCAGCCCCACTTATTCTAGCCAACGGTTACATACACAATTTCTGAAGTTAAATTCATAC